GAAGAAGATCCCCATCACTCTGGACACGGAGACCCTCATCACAGTATGGGAATGATGGGACACGGCATGCATCCTGCTTTCATGATGCCTGGTGGTATGATGCACCCACCATTCATGATGGACATCCACCTTGCTGTGGTGATGACAAGAAAAAGTCAACTGGCGATGGTGAAAAAGATCCGCATCACTCTGGACACGGAGACCCTCATCACGGTATGGGGATGATGGGACACGGCATGCATCCTGCTTTCATGATGCCTGGTGGGATGATGCACCCGCAATTCATGATGGGACATCCACCTTGCTGCGGTGATGACAAGAAAAAATCAACTGGCGATGGTGAAGAAGATCCGCATCACTCTGGACACGGAGACTCTCATCACGGTATGGGGATGATGGGACACGGTATGCATCCTGCTTTCATGATGTCTGGCGGTATGATGCACCCACCATTCATGATGGGACATCCACCTTGCTGCGGTGATGACAAGAAGAAAGCGACTGCCGATGTTGTAGAAGATCCTCATCACTCTGGACACGGAGACCCTCATCACAGTATGGGAATGATGGGATACGGCATGCATCCTGCTTTCATGATGCCTGGTTGTATGATGCACCCACCATTCATGATGGGACATCCACCTTGCTGTGGTGATGAGAAAAGTAGCTGCGAGAAATCAGAGAAATGTGACGAAAAATGAAAAAAGGGGATAAAAAGTATTAGATAACGTGTGTGTTTGTAACTGGCTGAACAATATTGACAAAGTGACTTTTGTTTATTTATTACTGAACCAATACTCCTAGCATTTTTTTTTTCGTACATTGCATTATTTCGGTTGTTATTAGAATTTTTTCTGTGTTAGTTCTCATACAATCATATTTTTTGTACATTCAAATTATAAAATGTTGTTGACATTATTTGAACATTGTCGAAGTGGCATTACCGAAGTGGCATTTCATGTTAGTAATAGCGTCCGAAAACTGACATGCTGAGTTTTACATACGCCATTTCGTGTATTGCAGTTTTCTGACATTTTAAACACTGTAAAATTGTAACATTGTTTTGGTTATCGGAATTACAAAAAAAAAAAAAACATTCTTGATCTGAGTATGAACGTATGTTGTGTGTGAAAGTGTTCAGTACTGGTTTTACAGATGGCACGAGATTCATTCATATCTTTGTTGACCCATGTGACACAATGAATACTTCAGTTGTTGAGTTTTCATCTACCATGTTTGACAGCCTCCCCTTTCATGTTAGTTTTCCACGAGGTATATTGTTCATGTCAATAATGTTCAATGCGTTGGCCCCTGATTTAGAGAATCGTTAGGTCACAGTCTTAACTTTTCATAAACACTGCCTAGAGCGAGACCTACCCTAGACAGCCCATGATTATTTTGAACGTGTACTTCACAGGTATTCCTGTTTTTTCGTAAACAAGTAAAAAGCAGATATTACAATAATGGCCATAGAAATAATAAAAACATAATGGAATGTCCGCGAAAAAGCAAACGACTTGTCGAGATGCGGTGTGCGAGCTAACTGGTAGTGGGAAATCACTGCCTTCCATGATTTCGCATATTCCTTAACTACACGAGCGACAAAACACTGAGAACCTCAAAGCTATTCAAAATGTTATTTCTATAGCTTCCTCTTCATCGTTACGATTTCGCTGACTCGATATGCCATGATGGCCTAAATAA